TTAATAGCAAACAACATAGACTTAGGTTGGACTAGGACTTTAAACACATAGGTTGGGGTAAAATCAATCAATTAATTTTATTTGAACTATAACTTTATTTAACATGCTTCGTAATGTTACGAGAAACCTATCAGCAAAGCAATCTGCCGAAAAAATAATGGATTTATTTTCCCCCAACCTAATATGAAATCCCCAAAATTCCAAATAGAGGCGTTAAGGTTATATAGGGGCCATACCAAAACGGTGGCCGATATTAATATTTTTGTTAGGGAGATTTGACACACATAACTTAATCCATAATATACAAAATTAAAGTCAATCTTGTTAAAACGTGTCCAAGCTCCTCCAAATACCCAAATGTAGGTGGTAACGGTGCCTAATAAATTTCGTAAATTAGCCAATATTAATAGCTTGTATTATATACTATACCAAAAAGTATACTTATATATTCTATTAGCAATATCAAACATACTGGAAGTACTAGCAATAGAACCCTAATCCGAATAACATTTTAATCTTTTGAGGAATAAATATGGGGTGTCCGAAGATTTTTTCGAAAAACCATCTTATGGCTAAAGGTATAACAAAACGAAGATCATCGACCTACTGGCATTCTCACAGAACATCTTACCCTACTGACATATTTACACAAGATTGGATGCATCGCATCTGGTTTAGAGCATATGGAGAAGACTGTGAAACGGTGGAACATTTTCTATGCCACTGCCGAATTATGCTAAACGTCGAACTCAATTCATGGGTTGCTTGAATGGAAACGACTGAGGAACACAGGGGTAGGAGGGAGAACAATATCAAAATGTTCCTTTCTGGAGCATAAAATTCAAAGGTGGGCAAAATTTATTTTAAAAAATTGTTAAGGGAAAATAAAAACATTAATTATTCTGCGGAATTTAATTATTTTTATATTTTTAAAACACAAATAACATCCCAGGAAGTTAAAAAAAAATAAATTAATTAATTATTTTTGTTTTAACATCAAAAAATTTTAAGAGAACGCATCAACGCTGGTGTGCACGTCTGCCCAACTATGATACAATTGTATGACCTAATACGAATATGTGAATCTGAAAAATTCTGAAATAGTTAAGGTCCCACTACACAAAGCAACCCCATATGTAATTTTTCTCCAACGTGCTTCACAGATTTCAAACTACTCAGCATCTGACTAGATCACAAGTTTCCATTTACCCGCTGCCCATGTTTTGTGAACTCTGGCAATTTTGTTCTGACAAGCAGGTTTTTGTTATAAGGTACACCATAAGGTGGATTGACTATAAAATGTTGCTCTGCCTCGAAATATTTAACATATTTAATCTTGATCAATATTGAACAGACGTTACTACTACACCAAGAATATTTAATATTGAATATGGTATACATCAGAGTACGTGTACGATACTCGGTAACTTGGATATTTTACAAACGTTTTTCAACCGAATTGTCTGTTCTCATTAGTTAGCAAATCTTCCCACCAAATCGACTCAATCTACCAATTATATGGAGGAGTACCCCCAATGTTCATATTTTGTTTTTTAAACTTTCCGGCTTTTTATACCCTTCACCACACTGTGGTACAGGGTATTATGTCTTTGTGCATATGTTTGTAACAGGCAAAAGGAAACGAGATAGACACATGGTTCCTTATGAGAATATGCATAGAATCACTTTCTGAGTCGATTTATGCATGTCCGTCCGTCTGTAGATGTTAAATTGTAAACAAAGTACAGGTCACATTTTTAATCCGATTTGGATGAAATTGGGCACAAGTCACTTATTTGGCCCAAGGACGAACCCTATTGAAATTGGGAAAAATCGGTTCAGATTTGGATATAGCTCCCATATATAGTTTCGTCCGATTTCATGTAAATGGTGCACCACATATATCTTGCGATTTGCACGAAATTTGGCATAACGAACGTTCTGAAATTAGTATAACCTATCCTGAGAAGTTTGTTTGAATTCGCTTAATATTTGGATAGAGCTTCCATATATATTTTCGCCCGATTTCAAGTAAATTGGGTATCAAACTCCTCACGTTAGTCAGATTGGCATCAAATTTTGCACAACGTACAAAATTGAGCATAGATTTACGTAGTTGCGTTTTCTAGAAGTAGAGACGTAGCCCAACGGATGACTTTATGGATAGATCTAGGTAGATTCACATTTAGATAAATATAACATGTTTTATTTCATCCAATTTCATGTTAATAGTCCTGTTTAATATGCCCATAGTGGTGAAGGGTATCATATAGTCGGCCCCGTCCGACTTTACTACTTTCCTTACTGGTTTTGGGATAAAATAGGGTAGAAAATCTACTCAATCTACCAATTATATGGAGCAGTACCCCCCATTGTTGATATTTTGTTTTTTAAACTTACCAGTTTTTTCTTTTATTTCATCCTCGCAACATTCCTTAGCAATAAATTGTTCTAAAGATTAAAATGAATTTCAAAATAGCAAAAGCCGGAACCTGGAGGCGATTCCAAGACAGTCATAATTCTATGACCCCGACGTGATTTGAACACGCAACCTTCTGATCTGGAGTCAGACGCGCTACCGTTGCGCCACGGAGTCCTCTGTTACAGTTAAGACATATGTTTAGCATGTTGTGGTATTCATGATTACGGTTGCTTTGAAATCCACCCCCATTTTGTTGGTGAAACTGTTAGGGGTTGAAGAAATGTAACATGCTGGTAATGTTAGTGGAAGTTACCACCAAAATTCTTTAGTTCATATATTTAACGCTAGGAGTTCATATAACCAAATAAATATTTACAAACAAAAATGGACATATTAGTAAACAAGAAAAAAAGTCGATAAGCCCGTGGTGTGTAACGTTATTTGGGCGCCATTTAAAAAAGCGGTCCGACATATCCAATTTTCGTAATCAAACATTCTAGGAGTAATATCAATGTATATATAAAATTTAAATACTGTATTTAAAATATGACGAGCTTTATCGTGATTTCAACAGAACGGCGGACATAGCTAAATCGGCATAGATTTTTATTCTGCTCTAGATTATGGGGTCTCAGTACTGACATTTAGGCTACCCTTAAAAGTGAAGCAACGTTAAACATTTCCAACATACAACTATACATTTAATTTATATATTAGTTTGGACAATCCGGGCCGATATGACTCCGTGGCGCAACGGTAGCGCGTCTGACTCCAGATCAGAAGGTTGCGTGTTCAAATCACGTCGGGGTCAATCTTTTTTTTTTCTTCATTTAGTTTGTTAAACATATTCCAATATTTTAGTGTGCATGTACGTAATGTATTGTCATATTAAAAAAGCTTTCAACAAGCCTTATCTGTTTACCGTACATAAATAGAATATGTTATCAGTAACGAGGCTGAAAGCTATCAAAAGATGTCAGTAAATAGTGTTTAGAATACAATTTTAAATTAGAGAATCCATGAATATGGCAACATGGCAGAAACTCATTTCAAATTATATGTACGACTTCATTTTATAAATTACAAAAACATATCGCTTAGAATTTCAGACACGCTTATCATTTGGATTGGTTATAATACTATTAATTTACATTTGGTGATAATTATTCCAAATAAAAACAAGAAAGGAAAAATTACAAATTTTGAACATGGCCGACTACTAAAGAATGGAAACGAAATAGAACCATTATTAATTTTAAAGATATGCATAGAAACACATTCTGAGTCGATTTATGAATTTCCATCTCTATGTCTTTTTGTACATGTATTATTGTAAACAAAGCCGATTGATTATAAATTGTAGCCCAAGAGCTTGTAACGCCGCGAAATATTGAGTAGATCTAGACATGTGTGTCCGTCCATCCGTCTGTCCATTATAATTTGTTTACAATCTGTACCACATGATATACTTGGCTTTCAATGTTTCCACTTTTTACGCTGTAAATCTAATAAATAATTAATAAACAAATCAATTTTAATCGATATTTAAACATCGTCAACACAATTAAAGATTCTTAATGGAAATCACGCCGTACTTTTTCCTACACTCCAACGGTAATTTTAATTCGAAAATTCTGGAGTCCAGCTCTATCCGTTCACACATAATTAAGTTGTACCAAATATAGTACCATCTAGTACACATAAGTAAGAACTTCCATATCTCAATTCTATATTCCAACAGCAACCATTATTCAATATTTTAGGTCTCCAGCTCTCTCCGTTCACCCAAATCCAAATTGTACCAAATGTAGTGGCGTTTAGTACTTTTCGTACACACAAATACGAGTTTCCATAGGTGTGTCTATAGCTCAATCTTCAACAGTAATCTTAATTTCAAATTTCAAGTTTTCAGCACTATATTTTCAAGCAAAATCCAAATTGTCCTAAATTTAGTACCATATAGAACTTTTCGTACCAGTAAGTACGAATTTCTTCAACTACCTCAATCCTATACTCCAATTGTCAATTTGAAGACTCCAGCTCTATCCGTTCACCTAAATCCAACTTGCACCAAATTTAGTACATAAGTTCGATTTTTTAATGCTACCTCGATCATGTACTCCAATAGTAATGCCAATTCCTATTTTCAGCATTCCATCCCTATACACTCAACTAAAAGCAAATAGTACCATTTTGTACTTCTTATACACATAAGTACGAATTTCTTAAACCATTTCCATACATCAACACCACTTCCTAACCTGCATTCCATATAAAATTTCAAGATTCTAGCTATATATGTTCAATGTATATATAATAAGAACTAAATTTAGTAAAATTTAGTACCTTTAGTACACTTAAAAGTCGAATTTCTAAATTTCCATCAGTGACCCACATACCAAATTTCAGAATTCTAGCTTTCTAGCTTTGGTACTTTTCGTACCCCTTTAGTTCGAATTTCCAAAAACCCAGCCTTATCTCACGCCTACACACCAACAGCAACCTACATTCAAAATTTCAAGCTTCTAGCTTTAGCGGTTTTATTTTACTTCAACATTCATTTAAAACAATTTAAATATTAGTTGTACGATTGAATTTCATATGACACTGTATCACGATATTCTGGTATATAATAGTCATACATTGTTATAGAAGCCGGCTGTAGCAATGCCACCTCATTCATTTTATCACCTTGTAAATTTATGCATTGTTCATCTGCGTCGGCATGTAAACGTTTGAAATATGCCAAACATGTGGTATCGGCATTTTTCAATTCAACTCGAGCTACAAATTCAATACTTTGTAGATCTTGAAACGCATCAGATGATACAACAAATCCCGAAGGCATTTCAATTTCCATAATGACCATATTCGTTTGACGATATTTTAATTTGTCCGATGGTTTAAATTTGAAACAGACTTCCAATTCCATGACACTTGCGGAGGACATCTTTGCCATGGGGGAGATCGTAAATGATTTCTCATGTGATTTCTTAATTCTGTTCGAAATGCTGGAGTTATTTGTAGTTCTAGCTAAAATATCAATGTTATCAGACTCAATGCTCATCAAGTCCTCTTTCAGTGGCATATAATAGTGATAGGCTAATTGAACTAAAGCATTTCCTTGGCCCTCAACTTTCAATTGGAGTAAACGTGTGGTTGTCGGAAGCTGCAATGGAATGGGCAATATATTATTAATATTTTCATAGTTATATAGCTATGAAACTTACCTCAATTTGTTGCCAAATTTGTTTATTACTTGGATCGATGCCCAGAAAGCCATCGATAACCTTCAACCCCTTATCATCCCAAGCCTCATAACTCACTTTTAATAATGTTTCATCAGAACTGGTATATTTTTCATTGAATTTAATCAATGCTTGCAATGCCACCACCGTATCCTGACTCGTTTTAAAGCCACCAACTTTACTTCGTTGCTCCAATATCCACTTCATAATATTTATATTATCGACAGGATTTGATTCTAGGAGAGCCATTAGAGCATATGCTGTTATTTCAACGTTATTCGAATGTTCCGGATTTGACGATTGCCACCATTTTAAACCATTTTCAGAGTGGGATTTTTTTTGAAGTTTAGTCAATACCTCATTCGTGTGATCATGTTTAGACATTTGTAGTGCTAGTGCCGTAAGAGATAAGGCATAGTTGTCGTCGATGTTATTGATATTGTCACCTAAAAATTCAACTCCTTTATCGATCACAGCTTTATATTTTCTTCTAGATAGCTACGAAAAAAATTAAGTTGTAATTAAAACGAAGAGAGAATGCCGTTAAATTTTAAGCGGGCGGAAATTTTTATATCCTTCACGCTTTAGAATACCTAAAATCGGTTGGATATGGTGGATATATAAAATCATATAAGTGTACTGCAAATTGTCTACCAAGAGAATTTTTATCCCAGATATATAATTAATATTTTTGGAAAATTCTTCTAGCGCCTTCAGCGTACGCATAGAAAAGATTTGCTACCTTTATATGAGGGCTATGTCCAAGTATAAAAAAATCATCAACCTTTGGTACCTTTATATACCACAGATATTAATTCTTCACATAAGATTCTACAACCCAAACAAAACACAAACACAACGATCTATTGATCTCAGACTAAGTTTTAAGTGTACCGATCATCACATCTCGATTAGTCCCCAAAATTTTCCTAAGGTCGGATATTAGCTCCGAAGAAAGGTAAAGTTTAGTGTTTAGTATGTTCGGCTCCTTCATATAATATTGCTTTATGTTCATACCCTCAGCCATAAGGTGAAGTGTGTATTAAATATGTTTGCCGACATTTTTATACCCTTCACCACACTGTGGTACAGGGTATTATGTCTTTGTACATATGTTTGTAACAGGAAAAAAATAATCGAGTTAGACCCATGGTTCCTTTTGAGAATATGCATAGAATCACTTTCTAAGTCGATTTATGAATGTCCGTCCGTCCGTCTGTATGCCTGTCCATGTTGAATTGTAAACAAAGTACAGGTCACATTTATGATCCGAATTGGATGAAATTTGGCACAGCTTATTTGTTTGGCCCAAGGATGAACCCTATTGAAATTGGGAAAAATCGGTTCAGATTTAGATATAGTTCCATATCTTCGTCCGATTTAAGGTAAATGATGCACCAAAGTCCTTATATATCTTTCGATTTGCACGAAATTTGGCACAACGTACTAAATTAAGTGTGGAATGATATGTGCACAGTTTCGTGAAAATCGGTTCAGATTTAGATATAGCTCCCATATATAGATTTGCCCGATTTTAGGTAATTAGTCCACTAAAGTCCCTGGAAATCTTTTGATTTGCACGAATTTTGGCATAGTGTACTGAATTATGTCAAGAATGATGTGTGAGAAGTTTTGAGAAAATCGGTTCAGATTTAGATATAGCTCCCATATATAGCTTCGTCTGATTTTAGGTGAATAGTCCACTAAAGTCCCTGGAAATCTTTTGATGTGAACGAAATTTGACACAGAGTTATGAATAAGATTGAGAATTATGTCTGCCAAGTTTCGTGTAAATCGGTTCAGATTTAGATATAGCTCCCATATGTATTTTCATCCGATTTAAGGTAATTGGTGCACCAAAGACCCTATATATCTTTCAATTTGCGAGACTATTGGTATAGGGTACTGAATTAAGTCTAGAATGATATTGCTAAGCTTCGTGAAAGGTTCCATAGCTAGGCCGATTGACACAACGTACTGATGTTATATAAATTAGTCTCTGGCAAGTTTCCCAGAAAACGGTTCAGATATAGATTTATAACAAAACACGTCGTCTGTTAGGATACATATGTAAAATATACCCAAAGTGGTGAAGGGTATCATATAGTCGGCCCCGTTCGACTATACTGCTCCGCTCACTGGTTTAACTTACCGAACTTTCCAAAAATGTCAACAGAACAAATGCCGTAAAACCATAACGATCCTGATGGGCTGGATGAAATAAATAGCCAGTATATTGAAATTCTCCCGTTGACAATTGTTTAGACTTCAAAAATGCTAAACCCTCATTGATTATTGAACTTTCTATGCCGACATAACGTTGTGCTTTAATAAAGAATCGAATAATGTATGCCGTTAACCATGTATTTTCCTCTGTGTGTGCCTTCGGTCCAAAGACACTATATGCTCCGCTAACATGACGATAGGTTAATTCTTGTTGATATCCAATTTCTATGTGACAAGTAGCCCGTTCGACCAATTCTCGTTTTTCCGAAGATTTACGCATGGTTCTCAGATGATCCAATACCAAAACATTGGGTGCAAAAGTCACCATATTTTGTTCAGCACAACCGGTGGGCAATTGCACCAAATTATCAAGGTTATGAAGGGCGGTATAGAGAATATCACTGCCTACTGAAAGTTGTATGAATTCGGTATCGGGAACTATATTCTGTGGAACCTCGACATCAATGGATGTACGATATATTTGTTGCATTTTGTTGAGACTTATAAATAAATCCTTGTTTTGGCGTTCAATTTTGCCTTTGTTCAACTAACAGATCTTGCAAAATGGCATCCTTGAATAAATTATTACTGGCATTTATTTGGATTTTTATGACTCCAAGTTTTTTGGGTTTTATCGAGAACTTTAAAGTTTTTCCACTATTGGCTGGCACATTTATGCGTTGGGAATTTTCAATGGTGGACAATTGCTTCATTGTCGCCTCATCAACGAAATCATATTCCCCATTAGAAGTATTCATAGTTACCATGTTGTCCAGTTCGCGATTGTGATAATTGAAAATAGTCACAGGAATTTTGAGAACTTCACCTCTTTTGATGGAATATGGTAAATTGGTAGATATGAAAAATGTTTTGAATATGGTTAAATTTATCGGTTCAGACATCATGCCAAAACCGCTTTCATCGTTTACCGAAAATGCCGTAATAAGCCATGTGGTTATGGTATGGGGTACATTAAGGGTCAATTGGGTTGTTTTATTTACGCTATGCCGGAAAATAAAATTAAAATAAATGTGTTTTCCATACAATGAAATTCTTACTCCTTCAGGTCCAAAAATATCCATGCTTCGGGAAATTTTGAACGTATTTCTACATTAACTGGTGGCAGAGTGTCAGGTATATACCTTGGCTTATCCGACTTATCTGTCAATCAAATAAATGAGTATATGTGCAAATATATTTGTTTAAAACTTACCAATGGGTGTCTCATATTTATTATAATTGGCATTGGTCAGTGTTATAAGTCCAGATATTTGACCAGGATAGATTACATCTACACCGGAAAATGTCAAATCGTATGTCAATTCTCTAAATATACGTTCTCGATCGATATTATATTCCGGATTTAGAAGATGTACACATAGATCTACAGCCAATAGGCCAACATATGATTTGGGCTTTGCTTTAATGTTAAGTTGAACTTCTTGTCCCGGCATAGCCATTTGGGGTGCTGATACTGATACCTGTTATGAAATATTAAAAATTATATGTTTAGAATAATAATAGAAAATTGAGATTAGAGAAGTATTTAGAAGTATTTTGGCTAGGAAACAGCCGCTTGAAAAATATTTTTCAAATGAAATGATACTTTAGCATGAAGGATGCAATGTGCAATAAAAGTTACCCCACATTACGAGGATTATAGCTGAGTGGAAAATGCTCTAAGGAGATGCAAGGAAGACATTATACCCTGGTGAAGGGCACCATATTTTTATAGCAGGTAAAAGGAAACGAGATAGACCCATTGTTCCTTTTAATAATATGTATAGCATCACTTTCTGAATCGATTTATGCATGTCCGTCTCTCTTTTGATGTGACAGACTCGCCAGAAACTTCGGGAGCTTGGATGGGAAGTTTTAATGCAACTGCCACACAATCCGGACTTGGCACCATGCGAGTATCATAAATCGACGACTAGAGTTTTTTTTGCAAATACAGAGCAGGACTTCTATGAGAGAGGCTTTATGAAGTTACGTTTAAAATGGCAACAAATAATATAACAAAACGGTGCTTATTTGTTCCAAATCGGACATTCCGAAAAAATGTTATTCCTTTCAGTGTCAAAAAACTTTTGTCGGAATAAAAATCCAAAATTTTGTATTTAAGATCATATATAGGCTCATAGTTTAGAAATAATAGCAATTTTCATTTTAACCCTCGGCCAGTTTCGTCTGTCTTTCAGCAAAGAAAGAGAGTATTTTTAAATGTCGAATATATTCGACAAAAACACTGAAAGGGTTAAATAAATTCCTGTAGTTCATATAAAAATAATGGATTTCACTGTGGTACAGGGTATTATGTCCATGTTAAATTGTAAACAAAGTACAGGTCGCATTTATGATCCGAATTGGATGAAATTTGGTATAGGTCACTTATTCGGCCCAAGGACGAACCCTATTGAAATTGGGAAAAATCGGTTCAGATTTAGATATAGCTCCCATATATATTTAATCGATCTAATGTAAACGGCCCCTATATATCTTTCGATTTGCACGAAATTTGGTACAGCATAATCATTTAGGTCTAGAATGATGTCTGCCAAGTTTCGTGAAAATCGGTCCAGATTTAGATATAGCTCCCATATATAGTTTCGTCCGATTTCATGTAAATGGTGCCCCAAAGTCCCTATATATCTTTCGATTTGCACGAAATTTGGCATAACGTACTGGAATGAGCCTAGAATTATGTCTGTTCAGCTTCGAGAAAATCGGTCCAGATTTAGATATACCTCCCATATATAGTTTCATCCGATTTCATGTAAATGGTGCACCAAAGTCCCTTAATGTCTTTCGATTTGCACGAAATTTGAAATAACGTACTGAATTGAGTCTAGAATGATGTCTGCCAAGTTTTGTGAAAATCGGTCCAAATTTAGATATAGCTCCCATATATAGTTTCGTTCGATTTCATGTAAATGGTGCACCACATATACCTTGTGATTTGCACGAAATTTGGCATAACATACTGAATTGAGCCTAGAATGATGTCTGCCCAGTTTCGAGAAAATCGGTCCAGATTTAGATATAGCTCCCATATATAGTTTCGTCCGATTTCGTCTGAATGGTGCACCAAAGTCCCTATATATCTGTCGATTTGCACGAAATTTGGCATAACGTACTAAATTGAGCCTAGGGTGATGTCTGACAAGTTTCGAGAAAATCGGCCCGGATTTCTTTATAGCTACCACATATAGTTTCGTCCGATTTCATGTAAATGGTACAACAAAGTCGCTATATATCTTTCGATTTGCACGAAATTTGGCATAACGTACTGAATTGAGCTTAGAGTGATGTCTGCCTTGTTTCGGGAAAATCGGTCCAGATTTAGATATAGCTCTCTTTTATTATATATTGATTTTAAGTAATTGACGCACCAAGGAACCAATAGGCTGATAGGAACAAAATGTACTGAAATTAGTATAACCTATCTGTGACAAGTTTGTTTGAAATCGCTTAATATTTGGATAGAACTTCCATATATATTTTCGACCGATTTCAAGTAAATTTGGCACCAAACTCCTCAAGTTAGTTAGATTAATATAAAATTTTGCACAACGTACAAATTGAGCATTGAATTACGTAGTATTTTACGTATTTTCAGAATATTACTAATATTCAGTACAGCCTTCTAATTATGTGTCCAGATTCCCTTCACCGTGGGTTATGTTGTGATGTTCGGCTTTCAAATGGCCTGTAGAATCGAAAAAAAAACACACGCACAAAATTAAGTTTTCGGTCCACCTCATCCCAATATTATTATCTGATCATAACCAAAAATTAAAGGTGTTGTCCTTGACCATACCTGGAACCTTATGGGAAATTTCAAAGCGATCATCGCTATATTTCGCCCTATAGTGTAGTAATGGGTTACTAAATAATATCTCAGTACGTAAGCACCTGAAAATATTTAAGTGTAACTCCCACTTCTGAGTACATACGACCATATAATTGGTATCAATTTAAAGGTCAACCACTTCTCTTGGATATACTATTAACTTCTCGGGTCTATGTCCTTCAGGGGCAAATACGCCATAGATTAAAAATTTTGTAATTTAACAAAAACAATAGAGGTCTTCATTGGCCAGAACCCTTCCTACATGCAAAATTTAGTGAAGATTGGTCCATAAATGTGGCCTGTATCGTGTTTACAAATTATAATGGACGGATAGACGGACGGACGGACACATATGTCTAGATCGACTCAGCTAGTCGAGATATGACGATCGGTATACTTAATGGT